CCAATACAGCCATTGCAAGTCTATGCTAGTTGGCAAGTCTAGATTACTGCCATACAGACCCTTAAATACAAACATATCCAATACAGCCATTGCAAGTCTATAATAGTTGGCAAGTCTAGATTACTGCCATACAGACCCTTAAATACAAACATATCCAATACAGCCATTGCAAGTCTATAATAGTTGGCAAGTCTAGATTACTGCCATACAGACTCTTAAAAACAAACATATCCAATACAGCCATTGCAAGTCTATAATAGTTGGCAAGTCAAGATTACTGCCATACAGACCCTTAAAAACAAACATATCCAATACAGCCATTGCAAGTCAGTAATAGTTGGCAAGTCAAGATTACTGCCATACAGACCCTTAAAAACAAACATATCCAATACAGCCATTGCAAGTCTATGCTAGTTGGCAAGTCTAGATTACTGCCATACAGACCCTTAAAATCAAACATATCCAATACAGCCATTGCAAGTCTATAATAGTTGGCAAGTCTAGATTACTGCCATACAGACCCTTAAAAACAAATATATCCAATACAGCCATTGCAAGTCTACAATAGTTGGCAAGTCTAGATTACTGCCATACAGACCCTTAAAAACAAACATATCCAATACAGCCATTGCAAGTCTATAATAGTTGGCAAGTCTAGATTACTGCCATACAGACCCTTAAAATCAAACATATCCAATACAGCCATTGCAAGTCTACAATAGTTGGCAAGTCTAGATTACTGCCATACAGACCCTTAAAAACAAACATATCCAATACAGCCATTGCAAGTCTATGCTAGTTGGCAAGTCTAGATTACTGCCATACAGACCCTTAAAAACAAACATATCCAATACAGCCATTGCAAGTCTACAATAGTTGGCAAGTCTAGATTACTGCCATACAGACCCTTAAAAACAAACATATCCAATACAGCCATTGCAAGTCTATAATAGTTGGCAAGTCTAGATTACTGCCATACAGACCCTTAAAAACAAACATATCCAATACAGCCATTGCAAGTCTATGCTAGTTGGCAAGTCTAGATTACTGCCATACAGACCCTTAAAATCAAACATATCCAATACAGCCATTGCAAGTCTATAATAGTTGGCAAGTCTAGATTACTGCCATACAGACCCTTAAAAACAAACATATCCAATACAGCCATTGCAAGTCTACAATAGTTGGCAAGTCTAGATTACTGCCATACAGACCCTTAAAAACAAACATATCCAATACAGCCATTGCAAGTCTATAATAGTTGGCAAGTCTAGATTACTGCCATACAGACCCTTAAAAACAAACATATCCAATACAGCCATTGCAAGTCTACAATAGTTGGCAAGTCTAGATTACTGCCATACAGACCCTTAAAAACAAACATATCCAATACAGCCATTGCAAGTCTACAATAGTTGGCAAGTCTAGATTACTGCCATACAGACCCTTAAAAACAAACATATCCAATACAGCCATTGCAAGTCTATGCTAGTTGGCAAGTCTAGATTACTGCCATACAGACCCTTAAAAACAAACATATCCAATACAGCCATTGCAAGTCTACAATAGTTGGCAAGTCTAGATTACTGCCATACAGACCCTTAAAAACAAACATATCCAATACAGCCATTGCAAGTCTATGCTAGTTGGCAAGTCTAGATTACTGCCATACAGACCCTTAAAAACAAACATATCCAATACAGCCATTGCAAGTCTACAATAGTTGGCAAGTCTAGATTACTGCCATACAGACCCTTAAAAACAAACATATCCAATACAGCCATTGCAAGTCTATAATAGTTGGCAAGTCTAGATTACTGCCATACAGACCCTTAAAAACAAACATATCCAATACAGCCATTGCAAGTCTATGCTAGTTGGCAAGTCTAGATTACTGCCATACAGACCCTTAAAATCAAACATATCCAATACAGCCATTGCAAGTCTATAATAGTTGGCAAGTCTAGATTACTGCCATACAGACCCTTAAAAACAAACATATCCAATACAGCCATTGCAAGTCTACAATAGTTGGCAAGTCTAGATTACTGCCATACAGACCCTTAAAAACAAACATATCCAATACAGCCATTGCAAGTCTATAATAGTTGGCAAGTCTAGATTACTGCCATACAGACCCTTAAAAACAAACATATCCAATACAGCCATTGCAAGTCTACAATAGTTGGCAAGTCTAGATTACTGCCATACAGACCCTTAAAAACAAACATATCCAATACAGCCATTGCAAGTCTACAATAGTTGGCAAGTCTAGATTACTGCCATACAGACCCTTAAAAACAAACATATCCAATACAGCCATTGCAAGTCTATGCTAGTTGGCAAGTCTAGATTACTGCCATACAGACCCTTAAAAACAAACATATCCAATACAGCCATTGCAAGTCTACAATAGTTGGCAAGTCTAGATTACTGCCATACAGACCCTTAAAAACAAACATATCCAATACAGCCATTGCAAGTCTATGCTAGTTGGCAAGTCTAGATTACTGCCATACAGACCCTTAAAAACAAACATATCCAATACAGCCATTGCAAGTCTACAATAGTTGGCAAGTCTAGATTACTGCCATACAGACCCTTAAAAACAAACATATCCAATACAGCCATTGCAAGTCTATAATAGTTGGCAAGTCTAGATTACTGCCATACAGACCCTTAAAAACAAACATATCCAATACAGCCATTGCAAGTCTACAATAGTTGGCAAGTCTAGATTACTGCCATACAGACCCTTAAAAACAAACATATCCAATACAGCCATTGCAAGTCTATGCTAGTTGGCAAGTCTAGATTACTGCCATACAGACCCTTAAAAACAAACATATCCAATACAGCCATTGCAAGTCTATAATAGTTGGCAAGTCTAGATTACTGCCATACAGACCCTTAAAAACAAACATATCCAATACAGCCATTGCAAGTCTATAATAGTTGGCAAGTCTAGATTACTGCCATACAGACCCTTAAAAACAAACATATCCAATACAGCCATTGCAAGTCTATGCTAGTTGGCAAGTCTAGATTACCATGATTACTGTCATACAGACCCTGAAACCAATTATATCCAATATAATACAGCCCATGCAAGTTTATAATAGTTGGCAAGTGTAGATAACTGAAGTTTCAAAGAAATTTCTGAAAATGAAGAGTCTTTGGGCTCCTTTTAAACATAGTTTGTGAAGATAATTTATCAACAATTTTTTCTGAAAAATATTTTTATTTCAGAGACAAGATGTAGTCTATCTGTCTGTGTTTGTAGCTGTTTATTGCTGGATGATATATGTATATACATATTGTAGCGCTATGAAATGTAACTTCTATATGTCTGTATTTGGGGCCACTGGCCTGTATACAGAATACATTGTCTTGTCTTGTCTATTGCATATTCATTTCTGCCAAGTTTTATGCAACACAATTTGCATGTAGTAAGTCCTTAAGTAGTATACATGCAACAGACTGGCTTAGCAAAGCTAAAAGTTTGTTTCCCTTTCTACAGCTGTTATTAGCGATGAGCAGACTGAGATGTGTCTGGGCAGTAGGGCTGGGACGGTAATTCGGGTACCTGGGTCGGGTGGGTACTGAGTAGGCCCCGGGTACCCACAGGACTACCCGGACCTGTGGTTAGTCATGTGATATATAGTTTAATGACAAAAATTATCTAGAACTCTATGGTTACACTACAAGTCATGAATGTTCGCATTTCTTTCTGACAATGCACCCATTCCTTCTGACTTTTCATAAGGTTGAATGGTTGAATAAGGATATAACTTAAGTCAACTTCAGTGTATGCATGACCAGATCGTTTAATACAAGTATCTAAATACATTTTGCAAGTGCTGTGGTAAAAACATTTTCCCAATTGGACATTTTGTATCTCTTGAGACCTACAGTGGGTACCCTACCCGGGTAGTAAATTTGGACTCGTCCCAGTCCTAATGGGCAGGTTTACAGCAGAATTACCCTTACATGCATGGAACAGGACGGGGAGACAAGTCCTAGGCTATTTGGTGTAAATAGTCACGCCAGCCATCATATAAACCCATGGGGTGTTAATGTCCAAGTGTTAAATTCTTCTACGATAGTGAGTAAGTGCTGTTTACACAGCTTTCAGCAATATTCCAGAAGTTTCCAGCCATATATAAAGGGGGACACCAAGAATGGACTTCCAACATGGTGACCATGTGGAGAGTTGAACCCATGTCCTACATGTGACCAGCACATATACAAATCACCAAGCTAAGTCCACCACCATGGCAGCTGCTGAAATCTCTTGATTGATCAAATATACTGATCAAAGAAGTCATGTTATGACAGATTGGACGTTCTTTAATTTCTTATAAATTGTTGTTGTCCGTGACTCCATGGCCATATAAAACACTAGACTATCAATAATTTCGCTTTGGGTAAAAAACAAAATCAACCTGATTGTTAACTCCTCAAGAAAGTGTGCCAGATTGTTAAAAAGACACATGGACATGAGCTTTCTGCTACCCTTGGTGGAAGCCCATTTTATGTCACAGGTACTTCTTCTTATAAACAATAAAAGAAAGAGAAAAGAGTGAGTGAGTGAGTGAGTTGGGTTTAACGCCGCTTTTAACAGTATTCCAGTTAGATTGCGGCGTGTCAGCTTAATGTGGGAGGAAAGCCCGAAGTGATGCAGGTCTCAGACGTTTACCACTTCGGTGAAACCCACGAGCATGGGTATGGTGCTGACAAACCTAGAAACATAATCGGGGCAAACCGGGATTCGAACCCACAATCATAGATTTCTGGCGTGCCCAAGGGACGCAACTCTGCACAGCGAATCGCGGCGCCTTAGACGACTGGGCCACCTGTGCCCCCGAAAGAGAAAAGAAGACATTTGGACATATATTCGGAGAGTTGGATTTCAGCCCACTTTAGCAACATCACAGCCATAATCATTGCCAGGGAACACAAGGAATGGGCTTCACACTACAAGATGTTCACCTACTGACCAGACGTAGTGGAAATCATCTTGGACAATGAATGTCTTGCCAAGAAATCTGCATTTGGGGTTGATGAAGGCGTCAACAAGACTCTCTCAATGTGTAAAATGCCCACACAGTCCCCCCATTGGGTTCTCCAGTGACCTCATGCTCCCTGATGGGGCACTGGGTTAGTTTGTCCTGGAAGCACAAAGGGGGAACTCCTAAATATGATATTAACCAAATAAACTACTGGCGAGAAAAGCAATAAATAGGTCTGGCAACTGGAGAACTCAGTCAAGCCTAGCATTCAGGGGTACTTTATGAAGAAGAAACCTTATGAGGCAATGTTTGGCGCTCACAGTGCCCATGTCATAGACATAACGGATCACAGGTGTGTGCACAATCAGTCCTCAGTGACACAGGTGTAACATACACACTACCTGACTACCTATACCCACAGTATAGAGGCCACACCTGATGTGAGAGGAGTTACATGCAGGTATAACAAGTGTCCAGCCTGGCTACACATACCTGGTGTGTTGGGAGTTACATGCAGGTGTAACAAGCGTCCAGCCTGGCTACACATACCTGGTGTGTTGGGAGGTACATGCAGGTGTAACAAGCGTCCAGCCTGGCTACACATACCTGGTGTGTTGGGAGGTACATGCAGGTGTAACAAGTGTCCAGCCTGGCTACACATACCTGATGTGTTGGGAGGTACATGTAGGTGTAACAAGTGTCCAGCCTGGCTACACATACCTGGTGTGTTACATGCAGGTGTAATAAGTGTCCAGCCTGGCAACACATACCTGGTGTGTTGGGAGGTACATGCAGGTGTAACAAGTGTCCAGCCTGGCTACACATACCTGTTGTGTCGGGAGTTACATGCAGGTGTAACAAGTGTCCAGCCTGGCTACACATACCTGGTGTGTTGGGAGTTGCATGCAGGTGTAACAAGTGTCCAGCCTGGCTACACATACCTGGTGTGTTGGGAGTTACATGTAGGTGTAACAAGTGTCCTACCTGTCTACACATACCTGGTGTGTTGGGAGTTACATGCAGGTGTAACAAGTGTCCAGCCTGGCTACACATACCTGGTGTGTTGGGAGTTACATGCAGGTGTAACAAGTGTCCAGCCTGGCTACACATACCTGGTGTGTCAGGAGTTACATGCAGGTGTAACAATTGTCCTACCTGGCTACACATACCTGGTGTGTTGGGAGTTGCATGCAGGTGTAACAAGTGTCCAGCCTGGCTACACATACCTGGTGTGTTGGGAGTTACATGTAGGTGTAACAAGTGTCCTACCTGTCTACACATACCTGGTGTGTTGGGAGTTACATGCAGGTGTAACAAGTGCCCAGCCTGGCTACACATACCTGGTGTGTTGGGAGTTACATGCAGGTGTAACAAGTGTCCAGCCTGGCTACACATACCTGGTGTGTTGGGAGTTACATGCAGGTGTAACAAGTGTCCAGCCTGGCTACACATACCTGGTGTGTTACATGCAGGTGTAACAAGTGTCCAGCCTGGCTACACATACCTGGTGTGTTGGGAGTTACATGCAGGTGTAACAAGTGTCCAGCCTGGCTACACATACCTGGTGTGTTGGGAGGTACATGCAGGTGTAACAAGTGTCCAGCCTGGCTACACATACCTGTTGTGTTGGGAGTTACATGCAGGTGTAACAAGTGTCCAGCCTGGCTACACATACCTGTTGTGTCGGGAGTTACATGCAGGTGTAACAAGTGTCCAGCCTGGCTACACATACCTGGTGTGTTGGGAGGTACATGCAGGTGTAACAAGTGTCCAGCCTGGCTACACATACCTGTTGTGTTGGGAGTTACATGCAGGTGTAACAAGTGTCCAGCCTGGCTACACATACCTGTTGTGTCGGGAGTTACATGCAGGTGTAACAAGTGTCCAGCCTGGCTACACATACCTGGTGTGTTGGGAGTTGCATGCAGGTGTAACAAGTGTCCAGCCTGGCTACACATACCTGGTGTGTTGGGAGTTACATGCAGGTGTAACAAGTGTCCTACCTGGCTACACATACCTGGTGTGTTGGGAGTTACATGCAGGTGTAACAAGTGTCCAGCCTGGCTACACATACCTGGTGTGTTACATGCAGGTGTAACAAGTGTCCAGCCTGGCTACACATACCTGGTGTGTTACATGCAGGTGTAACATGTGTCCTACCTGGCTACACATACCTGGTGTGTTACATGCAGGTGTAACATGTGTCCTACCTGGCTACACATACCTGGTGTGTTACATGCAGGTGTAACATGTGTCCTACCTGGTTACACATACCTTGTGTGACAAGAGTTACATACATGCATAATGGGAATCTTCCTCCAGGTGTAACATACAGAAGATATATTCATGTCAGATATGTACTATGTGAAAGTTTTGATATCATCTAATATGAGACAATTTACATTAGAACTCAAATTACAAAAAGAGGGTACTTTATCACATGATCATGAAATGATGGTGATCTTATTAAATGTTGCACCTTTTAAGATCTAAATTATATGTTTTTGTTTTTCGAGTTCAAGTTGTCCTCCTTCCAAAAGACCCAATATCACTCATCTACTTTTCTTGCCTTTCAGCTGTAACTCATGTATACAAGTCTACCACCAACACCAGGCCAAACAAGTTTAGCTTTACGCCTCTTAAAGCAGTTTTGTTCTTTCTCAGGTTCACAGGGCGAGTTCAACACATTCACACAACATCCTGACTTATCAGCAGAACATATCCATCTCCAACTGCGTACTACACGCCTTTGTCTGGCCTCCACAAACTGCATGCCCCCTTCCGGCCTTCCACTGCATGTGCAGAGCAGGTTGTCCCTATGCGCAGCGCACTCATCGCCAAAAAGGGGGGTGAAACTGGAGATTGTGTGTGTCCCCCCATTGTGTACACTCTCTGATGGCTCCCACAGAACGGGGTGACCCAGTCTCTGGATACTTGGCGCAAGGCTGGTGCCACCAAGACCTCCACACAGATAGCAAATCATGTCGGTTATTGTTTGCCATGAAGGCTTGCAGTTTGAGTTCACAGGATGTCAGGAACAAAAATGATGAAAATATTGCTGAAGGGAGTCTGATTGGAACGACAGTGAAATTCTAATTGCTTTGTGTTTTTATTTGAAGCAAAAAGTCTGGGCATTGAATTTCACATTTCTCTGAGAGGGATGGAGAAGAAAGCATGAACACCACGAAAACACACAGCTTGTAATGGAATATTGGACAAGCTGGGAACATAGCCATGTATTGGCACAAAAAGTGAGCATGTAGGATAATGTGCGGGAGTGAATGTCAGGTCTTATTGCTGAAGCACAGAAAGAATATGTAAAGTAGAACAAATAAAATGTGGTTCAGATTAACCGACCAACTTCATTATAAGGCACCAACAGTTTGACCAAATACAGATTACAATTTCATTCTATATTTCATCTGTGTTTTCTTTGTAAATATTCATGAAAAGCATATAAAATATAATCCAATAATAGAATGTTCTATGTGATTATTATTGTTGCAACAGCAGAATAAGATATTAACTTCAATTGAATCAAAACCATGATGACAAAAAAACAGAATGTGACAAGATATTACATCCCAATTCAGACCAAAACCGAGATGACAAAATAACAGATTATGACAAGATATTACATACCACTTCAGACCAAAACCAAGATGACAAAATAACAGATTATGACAAGATATTACATCCCAATTCAGACCAAAACCATGATGACAAAATAACAGATTATGACAAGATATTACATCCCAATTCAGACCAAAACCAAGATGACAAAATAACAGATTATGACAAGATATTACATCCCAATTCAGACCAAAACCAAGATGACAAAATAACAGATTATGACCAGATATCACATCCCAATTCAGACCAAAACCAAGATGACAAAAAAACAGAATGTGACAAGATATTACATCCCAATTCAGACCAAAACCATGATGACAAAATAACAGATTATGACAAGATATTACATCCCACTTCAGACCAAAACCAAGATGACAAAATAACAGATTATGACAAGATATTACATCCCAATTCAGACCAAAACCATGATGACAAAATAACAGATTATGACAAGATATTACATCCCAATTCAGACCAAAACCAAGATGACAAAATAACAGATTATGACAAGATATTACATCCCAATTCAGACCAAAACCATGATGACAAGATATTACATCCCAATTCAGACCAAAACCAAGATGACAAAATAACAGATTATGACAAGATATTACATCCCAATTCAGACCAAAACCAAGATGACAAATAACAGATTATGACAAGATATTACATCCTAATTCAGACCCAAACCAAGATGACAAAATAACAGATTATGACAAGATATTACATCCCAATTCAGACCAAAACCAAGATGACAAAATAACAGATTATGACAAGATATTACATCCCAATTCAGACCAAAACCAAGATGACAAAATAACAGATTATGACAAGATATTACATCCCAATTCAGACCAAAACCAAGATGACAAAATAACAGATTATGACAAGATATTACATCCCAATTCAGACCAAAACCAAGATGACAAAATAACAGATTATGACAAGATATTACATCCCAATTCAGACCAAAACCATGATGACAAAATAACAGATTATGACAAGATATTACATCCCAATTCAGACCAAAACCAAGATGACAAAATAACAGATTATGACAAGATATTACATCCCAATTCAGACCAAAACCATGATGACAAGATATTACATCCCAATTCAGACCAAAACCAAGATGACAAAATAACAGATTATGACAAGATATTACATCCCAATTCAGACCAAAACCAAGATGACAAAATAACAGATTATGACAAGATATTACATCCCAATTCAGACCAAAACCAAGATGACAAAGTAACAGATTATGACAAGATATTACATCCCAATTCAGACCAAAACCAAGATGACAAAATAACACAACATGTGACAAGATATAACATCCCAATTCAGACCAAAACCAGGACATAATATCACAAAATATCAACTCTATACCAGACAAAAAGCAGGAAAAGCCAACAACAGAGCATTAAAAGGACATCCTCCGTACACAATGTTCGTAGCAATTCCAGTAGCAACTTCTCATTCATCCTGCATGTTCTCCTCAAAAGCTAAGACAAAAGAACGTA